TGACATACCCCTTCATTAAACTGAAAATACGAAGAATGTATCTAATAATGAAGCAAATAATATTTAACCAATACATGTCATTATTACCAGTAGGTAGACGAACTATAAATATGCAGTCCTATTAATGGATTTTTGTAACAAAGCAAGAAAATGAGTACCAGTTGTTATGAGAAAAGCCCTTGATCTAAAAATATATGTACTGTGCAAGAAAAATCTTTGGATTTTTGGTTGGAGGAAAAATGGGTCCAGTTTAGTTATATATCGACTTTAGTGTTTCAGTGTGTTGTCTGTAAATAGTTACAGAATAGTTTTATCGGGAACAATGAAATCAGGGCGAACAGTATGGTTTGAAGTCACTTGTGCATTTATTCCTTTGTACATGTGTTAAGGGGCTGTTTCAAAGAATGCTGGAAATCTTTTTGACTGCAATTATACACCAGACTTATAGAAAATAAAATAATTAAGTGGTAGCTTATTAGGCATTTTTACCAACTTGCAGTTACAAGACTCTAATCTTGTTACTGGTATCAGTGAAAATTAATTACAATGTATAGCTTCTAATGTGCTTTTTTAAGTCATACAGCCAAAACACTGCATTTATTTAAAAATTCAAACACATATATTAAGTATGAACAGAATGTGTATGAATATAAAACTTTTTATGTGTACAAAATATGTTAATACTCACATAACACATTTTTCAACTTGAAAATATCTCATTGCTTAAAACTATTAAAAACATACTGAAAAATAGAGCACATAATTAAAGATAATGCATCTCTTTCTCTTGATATATATATATATATATATATATATATATATATATATATATATATATATATATATATATTATTTTGGTCTCACTTCTCCCTGTTTAACTACCACTTCTCCCTGTTCTGACCAAAAGGAGAAGTCAATTCTCCCTAAAATTTAAGTCTAGCTTGACCCCTGCTCATTACTCAGTTGTTTTTATAATTTTTGATGATAATGCAAACTTTGCAAAAGTACTATTTTTTTTCTATTTTTGGGACCTGCTTGCAGACCCCTTTGGCAACATGTGACGGACCCCAGTTTGAAAACCAGATATATTCTTCTAACAATGGATTATTGTTCAAATGTATGGGGAACTGTGCTAAATCTGAGCTTGGCAGGATTTATAAACTTCAAAAACAAGCAACAAAGGTAATTTTAGATGCATCTATTGATCTTCCCACAAATGCATTGTTTACAGAACTCAAATGGTTCACAATATATGACAGGATAGGTTTTCACATGGCAGTTCTTTTATATAAATGTCTACATGGAACTGCACCAAAGTATCTTCAGATTTATTCAGGCCATTTGCATCACAATTCCAGTTGAGATCAATATTACATGGAAACCTTCTAGAACCAAAAACCAAGAGAAGAACAATTTAAAAAGAGCTTCCAATTATCTGGTACAGTTATGTTTAATAATCTTCCACTACATGTAAAATCTGCTTACAATATTAGAGTATTTAAGAGATATGTGAGCATGTACAATTCTAATAAATGATGGAATTTATTATTTTAATGCTAAACATCTTAAAATAAACAGATTTCACATTATTCTGAAACCATGCCGACCAGTCCTAACACTAACCTTACACTAGATTTATGCAGGCTTGATTGAATCTGTAAAAAGGGCGGTATCATGGCTGCCACCTTTTTTTTACTATCATACCATATTACTGTTTTTGCATTATGATTATCTGAGCTGCATTTAACTTAGGATTTAGTAATGGCTTTTGCACTTCTCCATGTGCAGCAAGTACTATGCTGCTTTGATTATATCTTTTGAACTATCATTTTTGGTAACACTAATAACTAGAATGTTAAGTCAATATCTCTATCTTATCATTATCTCTATCTTATCTAATGTTATAAGTAGAACTATTTTAAATAAATACATAAATACTGTTTGACATACATAAATAAATACATAAATACTGTTTGACACAAATACATATTTTCTCTCCACTTATTTATTTTGTTTGACATACATAAATACATAAATACTGTTTGACATAAATACATATTTTCTCTCCACTCATTTATTTTTTTTTCTATTTACATTTTTACAAAGTTAGGGATATTTCAACATCACATGTAATGTTTTATTTTAATTTATTTGAATATTTATAAATTATTTGCCATCTTAACTGGGATTTCTTGTCCAGATTATGTTTAGCAAATGTAGATTTTACCAAAAATATGGTTAAAGATATGTTGTTTTTTGACGTCTATACCTGATCACTTAATACTGGAAAATTATACAAATCTGATTAAATAACAAAATTTTTAATAGAATTTTTAAGGAAAAATATAATCTTATGTTTGTTCCGCAGATAACAGTGTCCAATTACACATGTTCGTTATATATAAAGCTACTCATTTGTCAAGTTCACAAGTAGTCCAAGTTTCCTCTGACCCTTGACACATCATTTTTAATATCTGGTTTTTTATGTTGGGGTGTAGGGTCAGAGTCTATTCCCTATCAAAAACTTCTAATTTGCCGACACCATTTGGTGTCGGCATTGGGTACTTGCCAACTAAAAGGCCTAGAAAACTTAAATGACCTTGCATTGACCCATAATTACATTAAATCAATAGGGAAATCATTTATCTTCTCAGAAACTACAAGCATAACACCGATTTTGTCTTTAATCCGTTGTCAGACGAGACGTAACTACAGCGGTGATGAATTTTGACCTCGTTCGCACCATTTTAATTGCTAGTCACATGACTAACTAAATCTCGCAACCGAGGTGCATAAACGTCAGAGGTCAAATAGTCACGTGATAACAACAAAGTGCATTGACATGTAGTTTCTGCGTGATCAGTCAGCCTCTTTCCAGGAAGATGTGACGGCGACATGTTTCGGGCTGCTGTTATCCCAATTAATATGTTGAATAATACGTGTTTTTTTCTTGTTATTGTATACATTACGTGACTTTCATTCAATATTTTCGAGTTTATGTCTTCTTTCTGCAATACGGGAATGGAAGGTTTTGTGCATAAACCTATATTGCAACATGGCAGGTAAAGACGAATACACGGAAGCTCTTGCCAATGAGATACTTTAAGAAAAGGGATACTATTTTAATATTAAAGAACTACAGCATGATGTAATAAAATCAGTTATCAATGAAGGTGACATTTGCCGTCTTCCACAAGGGGTATGGGAAAATGCGTTTTTTGTTGTTATCACATGGCTATTTGACCTATGACGTGTATGCATATCGGCTGCGAGATTTGGTTAGTTATGTGACTAGCAAGGAAAATGGTGCGAACGAGGTCAAGATTCATCACCGCTGTAGTTACGTCTCGTCTGACAACGGATTAAAGACAAAGTCGGTGTTATGCTTGTAATTTCTGAGAAGATAAATGATTTCCCTATTGATTTAATGTAATTATGGGTCAATGTATGGTCATTTAAGTTTGCTAGGCCTGATAGTTGGCGAGTACCCTATGCCAACACCAAATGGTGTCGGCATATTCCAAGTTTTTGATAGGGAATAGACTCTGACCCTACACCCCAACATAAAAAACCAAATATCAAAAATGGGGTGTCAAGGGTCTGAGGAAACTCGGACTAGTTCACAAGATGCTGTGAAATGAGATATTCTGTCTTATTATTATTCTTGTTTGTCTTTATATCCACTTTTACTTTGTGCACACATCCCACCTATCTGCGCAACTTTTTCAATGTGTTGTTTTTCTCGTCACAAGTCAAAATCATAAAAATAAAAAACTCAATAGTCGGTTTTATAAATATCCATTAAATATAAGAGCAAAGGCATGCAACCAGTGCATAAAATTAGATATTTTCAATTTTTGGCATATATGTAACACTTTTGGGACCCATGATCTCTCCCAAGTACTAATATTAGTATCTTAGTCCTACCTTGTGGACAACCACAACAAAACAAGCTGACAAGACATCGTAGCTATGTAAGTTTAATGAAATACATTACCTCAGGTAAGGTCTTGTAAAAGGCCAAAAATCCTTGTTCCTGGGTATTATCTGCAAAAAAAAAAAATACAATAATTACAACTTCTGAATGCAACCGTTTAGTTGTCATCAAGAAAAGTCAACGTTTTTTTTTTTTTTTTTTTTTAATACTTTACCTAACTGAAGCTCTTGTTTAGGTTGCACGACAGCCATTTCTACACATGCTAGTTCGCGGGAAAATTTGTAGACTTTCGATTGCAAGCGATTAGCAGAATGGTAGCGAAAATAAATAATTTGCAAACCAATCTGTCAATGGAGTACGGTGTTGACTTAGATTATGTTCTTTTTCTACAATATCCTACTGTGTTACTAATCTAGAAAATTATATGACATAGGCGTGCCTTTTGGTATTGAGGAAATAATGTATAGACCTATCATTCATGTTCATGATTTGATAAAGAATACGAACAGAATATGTATTGTCACCCATCCTGCATTGCTGAACTTAATTTTAATTTTAATTTTAAGGTCTTTTAAAAACTCTGCTCTGCAGTTCAGTACACTGATTATGTCCCACTTGCCTGTATGGTAGTAGACTTAAAAAGTATTTGACGGGAAAAGGAAATCATACAAATTACAGACATATTTGAAATTTGTTGATTGCTTTTCTTTGGCGTAATTTAAAAAAAAATATTATTCGCATTATGTGCTTCCCTTTATCATCATGTATGTGTATGTTTGGGTGTGATTTAAATTTTTAACGTAGTTTTAACAAAATTTCAGTTATATCACTACTGTCTAGCGCTCGGATATCTTGCCACATACATTTAGCATCATGTTCCACTCTAGACCAACAAGTAGGTCTCTGCTTTTTATTTTCTTTCTGATAGCAGCAGAAAAAGTAGAGACCTACTTGTTGGTCTAGTTCCACCCAGTTACATTATTCTGACATCAGCCCGACCGGTCCTAACACAAACCTCTTAATGCTGAGCGCCATGCAAGGCAGCTATTGGTACCATTATCATCTCTTTGGTATGATTCGGTCGGGGTTCGAACCCGCGACCTCCAGCATCCAAGGCGGACGCTCTAACTGCTTAGGCCACCAGAGTGGTCTCTATTTATAAGAGGTGCGTATGTATGTATGTATGTATGTATGTATGTATGTATGTATGTATGTATGTATGTATGTATGTATGTATGTATGTATGTATGTATGTATGTATGTATGTATGTATGTATGTATGTATGTGTGCGTGTGTGTGTGTGTACATGCATACCAACAGAGAAATGCATTCTGAAGATGTAAGACTGCATAGAGTGGCGTTAGGACATCAGTGACTATCCTTATTTAAGTTTTATTATTTCAAAGTTTTAAATTCCATCTAGGATCGGAGCGGTAGCCTAGTAGTTAGAGTATCCGCCTCGGATGCGGGAGGTCGTGGGTTTAATCCCCGGCCAAGTCGTACCAAAGACTTCAAGCTGTTACTAACAACGGCCTCGCTTGGCGCTCAGCATTAAGAGGTTAGTGTTAGGACTGGTCAGCCCTACTGTCAGGATAATGTGACTGGGTGGAAAATCACGCTTCACGTCTGCGGCATGTATAGCCCAAGTGCTAGACATCACTTAAATTGACGTAGCCATACGACTAAAAAATTGTGAAAGCTACGCTAATAATCCAATCCCCCCCCCACTTTCCCTCTAGGAATAATAGATGCAAACTATGCGTGACCTATACCAGATAAGCAGTTTGCATGCAAATTAATGTATACAAGGTTAATTGAGTGCTACAGTTTCTGTGCACAGGGTTTTCAGCGGTGAAGTATTTGGTTCCAAACTCGTAATGTATCTAAGCAACACACCAGCACTGTAAGGCTAAATAGCGCATTTGAAAGATTGGTTTGATGCCCCAAGTGGTATTCGAATGCGTTGCAACGAATATAATCGATCGATTGAATGGGATATAGCTGCTAACTTTATTAAGTCGAATGCGAAAATCGCTAATAAGGTATTTTATTCCGTGAAGTAAAGACACATATTTTGTCTGGTGGCGACCTGAATTGGCAAGTCAGTTTCTAGGCAGGTATCAACTAATATCTAGGTCTCCAGACACTCTGCATCATGGCGGCTAAATAGGTGTCTCTGCTGTCTGGTGATGAAAAATAAGATACTTTAAAGACTAGAATTTCATTGCTGTATCTTTATTCTCGATGGTTGAAATCTCTCTCTCTCTCTCTCTCTCTCTCTCTCTCTCTCTCTCTCTCTCTCTCTCTCTCTCTCTCTCTCTCTCTCTCTCTCTCTCTCTCTCTCTCTCCTTGACAACTGATGAACGATGAAGTCTGTTTTTCGTTATACTGATAAGAAATATACATTTAAAACCTAGGGTCAATGCCGGTAATCAGATCACTGTATGAAGCGCAAAAAAACTCAATTCGGCAATTTAGATTATTTTTCAGGCCTATGCCCTCCCCTTTCCCAAAGAAAACAAAAGCACAAAAAACCAGCAAGACAAAACTATCAGAAACTTGTAAAATGGGGCTAAATATTCAGCCATTTGATCAGCCCGACTAGGTGGAATTCACAGAGAGAGAGAGAGAGAGAGAGAGAGAGAGAGAGAGAGAGAGAGAGAGAGAGAGAGAGAGAGAGAGAGAGAGAGAGAGAGAGAGAGAGAGAGGGTTGATTGCAATATTAACAAATAATTACAATAATTGGTTTAAATGCATCATTCAGGATTAAGAACCATAAATCAGAGATGGGAGTGTGAATTTCATATCGTAAAACAATAGTCAAATTGCTTTCTGTGGGGTAGCATATGAAAGCGTGATAGTTGAGATATAGCTGGATTAGAATATTTACACCGTACATTAACAGATGATTATTCAAGTCAGAGTCCGTCTGATGTCTGATACAGTATAATCACGTGCGGATTATAAATGAGAAGAACATATTTCACTTTCATATCAAAACACATCATTACATGTTCATTACGTTATTTGTATCATTTTAGACATTTTTTTCCTTTCAAAATGATTTAATTGGTGACAATAGCTTCAGCATTTACGCGAAATTCGATGTAAAGCATATAATATTTACAATATTACCGACGTTTTTATGTAGGCCTATATTAAGGAAGCCATGTAAAGTATTGCATATCTACAACACCATTACTAATTCTATATAAAGTGTATAATATCTACAACACCTTCGCTGATTTTATGTAAAGCAGAGAATATCTACAACACCATCGCTGATTTTATGTAAAGCGTAAGGCATAGTACTTCTACAACACCATCTTCGGTACACATAAACATAAGATTTATTTTTATGGGATAAGTTTGTTTCTGCCAAACAATTAATTTATCTTTTATATGATACTAATAATGTGAAAAAAAAATGTAAAAGAACTGGCAAAGCTCTGTTGCCATTTCTTCTTGTAGAACAAAACAGAAACAAATACAAAAGCAAAACCAAAACAATAAAGCAGCCTACTTTTGTAAACCCATTTTGTCAGCTAGTGAGGTTGCAAAGGGTGAAATAAAAATTATCAAAGAGTCTAATTATGTTTAGGTTCCAGTAAGGAGCGCGAGTAGCAGCTTGAGAAAGACTTAAATTTACGTTACTAGGTCATAATTGTGTATTAGGTTGCTAACTGACCATATCTTAGCTGACCTATGATAGATGTGTAGCAAGGGTGGGAACACTGTGATCACAGGAGAAGAGAAACCACGACTCGTAGTTAGGCCGGGTATTATATTTTTATGTGAAGGAAAAAAAATTGCTCCATACCTGTTCTGAACAGTGGAAAAGAGAACTATATACAACCAAGACAGTTGATGATCAAAGAGAGAGAGAGAGAGAGAGAGAGAGAGAGAGAGAGAGAGAGAGAGAGAGAGAGAGAGAGAGAGAGAGAGAGAGAGAGAGAGAGAGAGAGAGAGAGAGAGAGAGAGAGAGCGTCTAATTGAATTTTACGTGAATTTTGTAACTCCATTTGTATCATGAAGTGAATAGTTCAAATGTCATGTTCATATTCATTTTGTTTACGTAACTTCTATATATAAAACCAAAAATGTTAAATAGTTACTCCGGTTTGTTTTTTTAAAATGATTTTTTTTGTTTATTTCAAAAGTTTTACCTTCTACTTTATTAAAGGCACCCGCAAAAATTACATGTTATCATCAACATGTGTGTATAATCATATTTGTTCAAATCCTTTTTATTTAAAAACTTTGCCACCGCTCTCGGTAGATTTTCGTCCATATGTTTATTGAAGAAAAACAATGGACAAAGTTCACCTGCAGAGCCAGGACAAAGTTCAGCTGGATAAAGAATTGGAATATATCATGAAATAATAGCAAAACCCCGTTTCTACTAGCTGGAAGAGTGCAAACAAAAACTGAATAAATACACATAAAAAACGATAACTGCTTTACATAGGTAGAAGCAGATGAAAAGAAGTAAAGTATATACTTTATAACTGCTGACAATATTTTTAAGTCATTGTCGAATGTTGCAATTTACTCTGTGACATCACTGATTAGGAAATTTCTTCCATGTCTATAATTTAGACAGTTTATAGACTGGACACGACGATGACTGGATTACTTCAAACTGAGTTTATAATTCATTTGTATTCTTGCTGGGTTTGCTGCCATTTTGCGCAGAGTACTATTTTGATAAAAAGGCAGATATATAAATTTCAAATAGTGTTAAAAATAAAATGAATATGAAAATAATGAAATTATTCCTAATGAAATGTATACTGGTCAAATTGTATAAGACGGATTGGTGCATTTAACAAAATTTGTTACAATAGCTATTATGAAAGAGGTGGCTGTTAAACCATGTAAGTTTCAAAATGAAAATATATTAGACAATACGGTTCACAACTTCCCCAATGATGAAGTTTTCCATCGTCTGTTTAAACTTGGGGGATAACTGTTTTACAAACAGACTTCTAGTCTTTAACTTCAGATTAATATACCCAGTGTGTAAGTGAGCCCGCCGCTTGCATGGCCTCAGATAAACAGATGACTTGTGATGTCTTCATGTTACCGTTCAACCGTAAAATTAAATTTACTATAACACAGTTTTATCAGTATATAAATAGAGATAAAGGAGAAAAATCAGATGCAAAGAAACTGTATTTATCAAGGAAGGAAGATCTGAAGCATCGTAATGAAGACATTGAAAATGTTGTTACTCCTTTGTTTTGCAGTTAGTATAGTGACTGCTGGGTTTATGATGGATCCCAAGGGGCCGAAGAAGTCATTTCAAATCTCATCAGACCAAAGAACTAATTATGCGTACAAGAGATCGTATTATGAATTCAAAAGTGTGGCTGAAAGATATGTGAAGGACTTTCAAACAGAAATAGACGTTATATCAAAACAGCTGTCTACCTTGCAGAATCTACTGGACACTTTTGAAGCTGACATGGATTCGGCTTTTGAGATTGCCGAAGGTAAGTTTTTATTACGTTATTTAATTGGTCTACAGCTACCACCATCATCAATATTACTACTACTACTACTACTACTACTACTACTACTACTACTACTACTACTACTACTACTACTACTACTACTACTACTACCACTGCTACTTTTAATACAACATATACAGCAACAAAAACAACAACTACAACAACAGCCAGTAGTGCTGTTGTTTCTGGTATACCACTGTTACTAGTACTGCAACAACGTCAAGAATATTGCTGCTACTAATTATTATTATTATTATTATTATTATTATTATTATTATTATTATTATTATTATTATTATTATTATTATTATTATTATTATTATTATTATTATTATTATTATATTATTATTATTATTATTATTATTATTATTATTATTATTATTATTATTATTATTATTATTATTATTATTATTATTAGTAGTAGTAGTAGTAGTAGTATTAGTAGCAACAGCAGCAGCAGCAGTAGTAGTAGTAGTAGTAGTAGTAGTAGCTAATCCGTGTATGCCTAGTTTCTTGAACTTTGTAAACTAAATGGAGGTGAAAAATATGGACCAGCAAGTTAAGCTAAAAGAATTAGCTCCATCCTCAATGTAATGTTGTTGTTGTTGTTGTTGTAGGGTTTAACGCCAT